ATTTGCACTGCCCCCCCACCCCATCCTTTTTACGCTGCTGCTACTCTGTTAAGTATTTATGCATAGTCACTTTAACTCTACCCACATGTACATATTACCTCAACTAGCCGGTGCCCCCGCACATTGACTATGCAACGGTACCCCCCTGTATATATAGCCTCCCTACTGTCACTTTATTCTATTGTATATATAGCCTCCCTACTGTCACTTTATTTTTTACTTCTGCTCTTTTTTTCTCAACACTTTTTTGTTGTTGTTTTATTCTTACTTTTTTGTTTAAAATAAATGCACTGTTGGTTAAGGGCTGTAAGTAAGCATTTCACTGTAATGTCTGCACCTGTTGTATTCGGCGCATGTGACCAATAAAATTTGATTTGATTTGATTTGATTTGAGTAGGAACGGTTAGGGCAAAGTAGTGGGATAAGGTGTGGTTGGGGTTTTGGTTTTATAGTTGCAGGGTTATGGGAGGTGCAATTTTTATTTTTCCCGTTCCCTTTTCCCTTTATTTTTTGTTTTGTCACATATTGGAATGCACATTCCGACCTGAGAAAAGCAGCAAGACGCCAAAAAGCGTCTAGTCTGCCGAAAATTCACACGAAGAAGAATAATTACATTTATAAAGGGGACAAATCAAAGTGGTAGCAAGTCGAAACCCTTTAATGGTTGAGCGGCTAGCCATGTCCTTTTGATCTGTTTTGCCCTGTAGTCACTGTCAGTTTAGAATCTTTTGTTAAGACCTAAAGTGCAAGTGATAGAAAACACCAAATATCAGTTGGTATGCTGTAATATATAATTAAATATTCACTATTAGCAATTGCTGATTTTATTTTCAATACAATTCAACAATAAAGTACTGTGTTGCTGTTTTTCTATATATTCTGAACAAAAATATAAATGCAACATGTAAAGTGTAGGTCCCATGTTTCATGAGCTGAAATTAAAGATCCCAGAAATTTTCCATACGCACAAAAGCTTATTTCTCTCAAATGTTGTGCACAAATTTGTTTATATCCCTGTTAGTGAGCATTTCTCCTTTGCCAAGACAATCCATCCACCTGACAGGTGTGGCATATCAAGAAGCTGATTAAACAGCATGGTCATTACACAGGTGCACCTTTTGCTGGGGACAATAAAAGGCCACTCTAAAATGTGCAGTTTTGCCACACAACACAATGCCACGGATGTCTCAAGTTTTTTAGGGAGCGTGCAATTGGCATGCAGTAAAATCGTTGAAATTGTTGCATGTTGTATTTATATTTTTGTTCAGTATATTTACTGCAGAATACTGTAAATTATGGTGCATTGTGGAGAAATATTGTGGAAGGAGAAAGAATTGTTGACTAATTAACATAATTTAAGGCGTGCCTTTAAGTGACTATATTTGTTACACCTGTTAGTGAGAGTCCTGTACAAATTTAAGTGATATGTGGTAGTAGTTCCCCAACAATTAATTAAATCTTTATAGGGAACAGATCAGGTTGGTAGTTGGTCTTAAACCTTTTAATGGTTGAATATTTACTCATGTCTATTTAATCTGTTTTGCCCTGTAATCACTGCCAGCTTGGAAGCCTTTGTTTAGGCCTCTAGAAGTGCAAGTGATATAAAACAACTAGTATTCATAATATGCTATAATATGCAAATGCCTACAGCCAACCACTTGCTCTAATCCATTGTAATTGCACTAAAACACTGTGTAAATAATTTCCTTACAGTTTAATAGTCACTTATACTGTATTGTACATTGCTCTGGCATCAAGTTACCATGAATATCTCAGTATTGGTTTGGCACTATCCAGAGCTAGTCAGACATATATCAAGTCAGACAAGATATCTTGTTGTAATTACAATTATTTTGAAGACCTATGTATCCTTAACTACAACAACATTTTCAGTAATGGCTACAGAAATGTTTTACTTTCTTTTTATGACAGTGATATGTTTATTTTTTTTATCAACCTTGGTTGAATGCACTGACTGTAAGTTGCTAAAGACAAGAGTGCCCGCTAAATGACCAAAATCTAAATGTAAATGTACAAATATAACTGGCACAGAACACTGGGTAATATGTCGCTGCATGGGTAATTCCAGTAATATACTGTAAATTAGATTATAGTAACATTTCTGGTACTGTAAAATGGCTTACAGTAGCTGTACTGTAAAATTAAATACAGTAACTTACTGGCCAATTGCTGCCAGTAAGTTACTGTACATTTTACAGAATATTTTTTACGTGAGCGCACACACACACACACAATTACTGTACACTAGGTTTCAGGCCAGGCGAAGGGCCATCATGAATGGACGTCTCATCCGTTTACTCTTTGGACATGTTGCTTTGCCCATCAAACAACCAACTTTTCTCCAGGAAGTTTACAACCACCAAGCGTATCAAACAAACTGATATACTGTTCTACTTCCATTACCAAACACAGCTACAGTATTACTACAGACCTGGGTTGCTATTTAAAATCATTAGAAATTCTTCCACTGTTATTTTCAGCTTGCCTAGCAAAATGGAACCCGTAGAATAGTCCTAAAATGGTAAACCCCACCCATTTGGCACTCCAGACAGGCTAAAGCAAACGCTCAGAGTATTTAGAAGATTTCAAATAGTATTTGAACCCAGGTCTGAAGTACTGTATGGTGTGGTTCCCCTGACTCAGCAGCCAAGATAGCCTCCCATGGCACTATTATGGAACATCTAACGTCTTCTAACGTTTCTGCTCATCCACAGCTGGTAATTAAAATGATGACAAGAAGTAGGCTATTTCCCAAATGTCACCATATTCCCTAAAAAGTGCACTACTTTTAACCAGGGCCAAAAGGGCTCTGGTCAAAAGAAGTGCACTATGTAAGAAATAGGGTACCATTTGGAATGTAGTCGTAGTCATGGAGCCCTTGGTTAGTAACTACACACATCATCCAATAGCTCAACATCAGGACTCAGAAGCTTCTGAACCACAATGTCTGGGAAGTGATTGGAGGAGTGCTGTGTTGGTTTCCTACTATAGGCTACCCATGAAATCACCTAAAAAAAAGAGCCTGCTGGAGGTCGGCACAGACCTGGTTTCAAATAATATTTGAAATCTTTCAAATACTTTTAGCGTTTGCTCTAGTCTTCCTGGAGTGGGGTTTGCAGTTTTTTGACTATTATATTGGGTCCATTACTCCAGGCAAGCTCAATTAAATCCAGCTAAAGTATTTGAAATGATTACTAATAGTTTTTTAACACGTTTGCTCAGCAGTGGTAGTAATGACATAGGAAGGACAACCACATGCAGTAGAGCACAGCTAGACGTATAGTTATTGAGGTCAGAACAGATGACACTCAACTACTCTTCTCCTTCCCACCTTCTGAAACCCAGGTGGTAACACACATCTCAGCTTGGACGTCGGCCCACTACCTCAAGCTCAACCTTCATCACGGTTGACAACTCCACGGTGTCCCCCTTCCAGAGTGCAAAGAAACTTGGCAGGACCCTGGACAACACACTGTCGATTTCTGCTAATATCAAAGCAGTACTCTCTCCTCTTTTCTCCCTTCTGCTAAATCCTTCTCCATCCTGTCTCCTGATTCTGCCTCTTTGACCCTACTCTCCTCCCTTTCCACATCCTATGACTCTGTCCCCTTTCCTCCTGGCAGGCTCGGCCCTCCCCTCCTGCTCTGTGGCTGAGTGACTCATTGCGAGCTTACATAACAGGGCTGCTGGAGGCTGAGCAAAAATGGAGGAAAACTAAACTTCCAGAGGACATATCATCCTTTCACTCCCTCCTCTCTACCTTCTCTTCCTCTGTATTCACTGCTAAAGCCACTTTCTATCACTCTAAAATTCAAGCTTCTGCCTCTAACCCTAGATAACTATTTTCAACCTTCTCCTGCCTCCTTAATCCTCCAATCCCTCCCCCCCTCCTGGATTCGGTTAGGAATGACAAATCACTTCACAAACCAGCAAATTATGACTTGCAGGTCTGATATGGCCTGTGAGCAATGTTTTTCAGACCACAACATTGAGAATAACTGGGCTTTATGGAATGTATAATATATGGTGACTAAAAAACACAGTCATGGGTGGGTATCTGTCACATTCACTCAAAAGGCATGCTGGGAAATATGCAAATAAGGCTTTACACCCTACATTTTGAAAGGGACCCTTTGGTATTTTGGCAATGAAGCCCTTTATCTACTTCCCCAGTGTCGGATGAACGCGTGGATGAAAATGTTATGTCTTTGCGTGCAGTTTGAAGGAAGTTGCTAACTAGCGTTAGTGTAATTGCTAACTAGCGTTAACACAATGACTGGAAGTCTATAGTATCAGCTAGCATGATAGTAGATGACATTGACTTCCAGTCATTGTGCTAACACTAGTTAGCATTGGCTCGCAAAAATACCTCTAACTTCCTTCATACTGGATGCAGAGACATAATAATGGTATCCATGAGTTCATTTGACTCTGGGGAAGTAGATAAAGGGCTTCATTGCCAAAATCCTGAAGTATTCCTTTAAAACAACAACTCTGTAACACTACATGTGTTATTCCCTAACACTAAAAAAGTGTAACAGCATCGACTCTAATAAAGTATTCATTTAAATTGGAATTTGCAACAACCATGGTGTTAGGGACCAACACTCTAGGGGTGTGAGCACTTTGAAAAGTGTTTAACACTATTTCGGTGGGTCACATATAATTTCTAAGAAAGTGTTCAATTTAACACTGTGGGTATTGAAATTCTGATCTCAAATTTGCTGTGCACAAACACACACACACACACACACACACTCACACACAGTGTAGGGTCAAGCCAAACAGAGGCCTGTGGAGAGAAGCTGTTGGAGTTCAGACT